ATTCAGTTGTTAGGTACACAGCAGATGAGATTAGGAAAATGGAGGAATCGATTCGGATTCGAAGATCGAAAGAATCTATTGAGCTTGTTAAATTGGTTAGTGGTGGATTTTTGAATGGAATTCAGATGAGATAGATGCATTTGTTGGTTCTTATAGTGTTTGATCTACAAATTATATAGGCGAAGAAGCTGAAACGTGATGTCGCCACTGCAGAATCAAACACTGAACTGTCTCCTGATGTTAAGCACAAACTAGTTGATGAGATCTTGCAGCGTTTAAAAAGCTTAGAGGAGAAGTCTAATGTTACTCAGTTAAGAGGTTTGTGCTATTCAATTCATACTTTGAAAAAAAAAACATTTCTTTTTAGCTACTATGTTTTTTAAGCTAAAAAGCACATTAGCTTCACTATCATTTGTCTTATTACCTTACTCTGTGCAAGATGTCAAGAGCTCAATTTAGTAAAGATCTTGATATCATTAATGTCGAACAGTGAAATGTAGGTAAAGCATATAGTTATTAGGAAAGTAAAGTAGGTACAAAGTTTAGACCTTCATGCATGTGATATCGCATACGAGACTGTACAATTGATTGATTACCAAGAATTACGGGATTTTTAGTGGAGATTTTGCTCGCCTAATGTATCTGTTTGTTCATGCACAACTTCATCATGTTTTTGGAACATGAGCTCTAACATGCACTGAAATTCTGTTTGAATTCATGATGATATGTTAGGTAAATGAATGAACATTTGAGCCACAAAGGACCTTAGTATAGCAGTAGTTCCATGGGATACATAATCTTTTGGATGCTCTATCTCTAATTCCTTTCTACTGCGTGAGAAAATATATGCTCAAGAATTTCATCATGTCATGATACTCACCGCTTTGACTTGTGATTTTTCATTATATTCACTTTTCCTTAATAACACTTATACTTAGTGATGTGCTGACTAGGCTAATGAATATGTGTGAGTTCATAGTTATTTACATGAGTAATATGAATAGTGTGGAAGGTAGGAATGGTTGATTTGTTTGGTTAGAAAAGTGAAAAGTTACTGGATTACTTTTTGATGCTTCATTTGCTTGATCTGTTTTTGAGAGGTTATTCACTACACACAATGTGTGAAAAGTTGTAAGGTCCTAAAATGTTCTGTCTGCTCTTTCTTTGCCTCTTTCTCATGCTCTAATATAATGATGTCACTCTTTTTCTGACTCTATATTTGCAGATGTTAATATTTTTCTTGAAACACTATTGTAATCAACTTTACAACTTAGTTTTTTATGGGATTTAGGATTCTACTGTAATGAGAGTGCTACACTGAGTTTGAAAAATATCTTTTCCCTACTGGTGTTAATGATGCATGGTGGACTTGTTACTATTTTTAGCTACACCGTTTTCCTTTGACACATTCATGTCACCCTTCATTCAATGTGTTGACCCTTGATACCTTCTTATCTTCATTTGGCAAACAGAAGCTGTTGAGTTGTGGCGCAGTGAGAAGCTGAAGGAAGCTAAAGAGATGATTCAAGGACAAAATGGGGAAAATTCAACCAACATACTGGAGGAAGCAGGTATTACTCCTTAAGCGCGATTGCTGAGTTTCTTACCATGACCAAGCATTCATTTATGTAACTATCATCTAGGGATGCTTGTAAGAGCTTTGGAGTTGGAGTGGGATGTGCTGTCTGAAGAAATTGGTTTCTGGTTACCTGCTGAAGTTAGCAATGAAGAGCACGATGACAAACCTGAAGGAGAGGAAGAGCCTGGTAATAATTCTACATTTCCAATCTCTACGTTTGCAATGCAGTGAATGAAAAAGTAATGGGGATCATAACCAAGATACTAAATGAAGTTTAGCGAAATTAGAAACTCACGAGGTTATGCATTGTTTTAATTTACAGAAGAGGTATTAGCAGGCAGACCAGTGCCAGCTGTATGTAATGCAGAGCTTCACACAGACTACGGTGGTGCTGCAGTGAGATGGGGACTTACACATCATAAAGAGAGTGCAGCAGATTGCTGCCAGGCTTGCTTAGACCAGGCAAAGCATGCGAAACCTGGTGAAACGAGATGCAACATTTGGGTTTATTGCCCATCTGAGTTTGGGTGCTTTTCTCCAGATATTTATGAGCATAAACATCAGGAATGTTGGCTTAAATACGTAAGAAGACTCACCGAATTCTCTGTTTCCTTGAGATAAAGTCTGATTGGAATCTTGTCTCATATATAACTATGTCTATGTAAATTGCAGGCAGAGTATCCAAAACAGAACTTCAAAGACAGATACTCGGAGATGTACAGAAACAACCACCCAAAAGCGCCTTCTATCGTTCCATGGGTTTCAGGTGTTGTAACGGCTTGAGCAAAACCCATGTGGACAGATTGATGGGAGAAGAAGAATAGGAGATAGTTTTGGTTTTTCTCACTTGTGTTACCATTTTCAGTCTTGGAACTGAAAGTACCCTACCAAGATGCTAAACATCTTTGGCCTGTTTGTACACGTACGAGAATAGATTGTTTTTTTGTTGGTTTGTCTTTAAACACTTGTGGCTTACCACACAACACTTGGTCGAAGTCAAATATGGTTTCAAGAATCATGTTTTTCTAGTTCGATTCTCTAGCAGCTGCCTTCATACAATGTTAAAAAAGGGGGTTTATAATATTGGAATACAGAATGCAAGATACCAAAAAAATTGTTATCGAAGATTTGAGCAGATTGTATCTTGAAGCTGAAAGTCTAACAAGAATTAAAAAAATTGAAACTCTCTGAGTGATTCAACGAGCACCTGACCAGAGTATCGTCGTCTTCAACCTTCTGCGATTTTCTTCCGTCTTCTAATCGTTGTTATAGGAAATCATATTATTCACTCGGTTTAATCAATTCCGGTTTAGTTACCCGGTTTTATATCTCTTTCTCTATTGTGACTTTATGCAAGGCTTTTAGGGTCTAAATGGCATCACAATTCCACGAATTCTTCAGCAAATTCCGTAAATTTCGTAGTTACCATTTAAGTTTGATATATTATTCAGCAGAAATTCAGCAAATTCTATAATTCAGCAGAAATTTAGCAGAAATTACTATGCGGTTACTATTTATACCAGTAGGATTTAGAATTTTAAGATTTAGATTCTAAAAATTTATAATTAGTGGCATTTTTGCAAATAGACAATTCATAGTAGTATTTTTGCAAATGTACACACCAAAAGTAGTATTTTTGCGATTGTCCCTTAAATATATATATATATTGTGATTAAATTTTACTAAATTTGCTTGATAATTCTAAAATAATATTGTAATATTTTAAAAATTAGGTTTACTAAAAAATAATTTAATTTCAATAGCAAAATATTATATCATAAATTATGTATATAAAATTTTTTTATCAATCTATTAATTTATTTAAAAGGTAATTGCAAAAATACCATTTTTGGTAGGTATATTTGCAAAAATATCACTTAAGGTATCCATTTACAAAAATGTCACTAATTATAGATTTTTAAAACTTAAATCTTAAAATTATAACTCATAAAAAATGTTGATCCCTAAAACATTTTAAACCCTCAAAACTAAACTCTAATACAACATAGCTAAGCTAAACATAAATGATATAATAAATTTTTTTGTTTGAAAAAGTGGGCATTTTCACAAAGATTTTGAAAATATTACATTTTAGAAAAATGATATTTTTTGAAATTTTTTAGTTTAAATTAATTATTTTTTTAAAAATTCAACAGATCTAACAAATTTTGCAATTATCATTTAAGCTTGACATTATTCGGCAAATTCCCAACTAAATCATTATCTTTTCAGCAAATTCTGCATAAACCCTGCTATTACCATTTAGACCCTCGGCCATTCTCTAAGAATAATCAATCAAAATCATAAACAATTATCTTCTCAATCTCTCTTTCTATCGATCATCGTCACTGAATCTTAGTTCTTCGAGGTGATCCTTCACCTTCTAGTCTCTGATTTGCCTATCCGGTGAATCCCTAGCTTAGGATTTATCTATCGGATTTTACTGTTTCAATCGTTCTTTCTTCGATTTTCCTCTGAAAAACAGATCTCTTAAATCTTTTGTATGTAAGGGATGAATCTTTCTCCATACAAGAGAGATATTGATGAACTCATAGACGAGTTTGTGGAGGTGCTTGGTTCATTTTCGTGAAATCTTTGTTAGCTTTATTTAAAAATCTCATCTTTTAAAATTCTTTTAGGCTTCCAATTTGGTTTGAGTTCTCTGGTGTTGTTATACTTTTCAGGGTGATTTCACAACTTTTGCTGATATGAAGAGTGTGTGGTTATCTCGAAAGTTTTCTTATATTTTTGAAGCCATTCCTAACACCAACTTAGCCTTTTTCATTCAGTCACTATATGCTCACATTATTATTGGTGCGTGACCTATTCTATTTACACACAAATCTCGAGCTTTAATTTGATGTTTGTTGTTTGCATTAACCTTGTGCTAGTTTCTTAGTTAAACTCAAAAGCCAACCTTATGTGTACAGGTCACATGGTTACTACTTATTCTCTTTCACGGAGACTTGGAGGTCTTTACTGCCTCTATTGCCTTCATGAGATCCAACCTTTTAAACCCAAGTTCAGAATTTATATCTCACTTCGTAAGTGTTTTCCATTTTCTTGTTTGTTTCAGCTTAAGCTTTATAATGAATGGGTACATAACAGTTTGATGTATCATTTTTCAGTATTATCCTTTTTTCAAACCTTAAAATGTGAAAGTTCTCATCATGCAGAAGAGTTTGAAAAATTGAGGGATCTTATAGTTGAGGCAAAAGATAAAGGTGTAGATATAGCTGTTGCTGTGGCAAAACAAATGCTTGAAAAAAAACATGGACATTTGATATCCTGACCTTTTTTTGCTGCATCTTGATTTCTGGGTAAATTCATGAACTCGCATATACCTGCAGCGTATGCGGACGTTAATAAGTTCGAGCCCTCATCCATCATTGGCTCGTCCATCCAAGACCGAAAATATGAACCCATCGCGAACAATTTTTTTGATTTTTTACAATTGTGTTATGAATTGTGTTATGAACCAAGATCAGAAATGTCGAAGCTTATATAGAACGGACAGAACGCACGTGTGCGGTTTGCCTATGAAAAGTATGTCATTTTGTTCTTTACTTTTTGGAATTAGACTAACAAATGGTAGTTTGAGATAACCTTTTTAGTCATATGATTCTCGTCTTGATTTCAACAGATTAATCTCTGACACCAAGATTGAGCAATTTATTCATTTGGAGATGGTGAGTACGAGATACTTAATCTTCTTAAGTATTTACATTTCCAGGATTTTGTAGATCTCTGTTACTCCCTCCCTAAGATAGATGACATAAGAATATGTCCAACGGTTTAATTTTATTCTTTATAAAAGTGTTCTATATTGCACCGTTCTTGCTGCTTTTGTGCTTATCAGGGTAATGAAGTTGATCTAGATTCCCTACATAAAATGTCTACCAAATATGCAGAGGCCAAAAAGCGTGCAATCAAAGGTATATGCTACTTCCTATGAATTGTTTGTGCGCAGTTTTTTTATTTCTTTAAGTTGTACCATTGATGCTATTTGCCTCCCATCCCATCCAATCCAAAGATCAAAAGAAAAAAGAGAAACAGTTTTGTTTCAGATGTGAGCAGATACTGTTAAGCATGTGTGTTGTGGTATACTATATATCCCTTGTTTGGTAATGTTAAGGTGCAGGAGAATCAATGGAGATTGAGGACATAAGACATATATCAGAAGAGAAAGAGTTGATGGGAGAGAGAATGGAGAAATTGAAAGAGGAATGGAATTCACAAAGACTTTCATTCTATGAACAAGCCAGGCTTGACTGTCTCACAACGACACAGAAACGGGTGGAGAGTGGGAAAGATGAAGAACAAGATGATAATGATGGGTTTGATGAGCTTGAACGCTTACTTTCCTAGAGCTGATTTTGCCATTGCGACCACCAGTCAAAGTTTATGAACGAAAGCCTATTAATAGACATGGCATTTGCATTGACCAAATGTCTATCTCCTGTCTCTGACAATGAATTTTTGATCAGGTAATATCATAGTCAGGTTGTCTGAACAGAACAGCATGTTGATTAGGAGAATATATTGGTTAGTTTTCTTGTGAAACAAGTCGATTAAGGATGTTTGTTAGGGTCAAGAGTGCCTATTTCCTGTCTGCAACTTCTGGTATGTTATGAGTTATGACACATCACATTAGTGTTCTAAATAGTGAATGAT